GCATCGCCCCGACCGGCTTTGAGACTTCACGGCTGCGTCCTCCCGGAGTGCCTGCGGGATGGAGGGATGGGGCTGCTCCAGTGCAGGGAGGAACACAGATCAAAACCAGAAGCTGCAAACTTCCCCTCTTTCATCTGGCTAGGTTCAAAGTCTCTATTTGTTGCCCAAAGAGAAGTGATTTGATTCCTTGTACCCTCCCCACTGAAATATTTAATGCGCATTAACTTCAATTTGAGCAATTGGTATTAAAAAACCTCCAACTGGTGCCATAACATAACGATACCCAGTACACGTGGATGATGGGGAGGTGACCTGCTAGTGAATTGCTGCTTCATTCCAGTGGTATTGGTGGATATTTTTTTTTTTTTTTCCTTTTCTAGTATTAGGGTGAAAAAGGTGAGATTTTTGATTTCTTTTTGCTTACAGGTGTTCAGTTGTGCTGGAAGACCAGAGATTCTCAGCAAAGTTTGTCATTAGTGCAGAAACTTAGAAGAATCACTACCAAATCTTAAATTCCATTTAAATAGCTTAAGTATTGAAATTTAAATATTTTCCAAGGTTGTAACTTCAGTGACTCATTTAAACGAGTGTTTTGTTTCAAGGGCCTGGAGATGCTTTTCCTCGGTTGTGCCCAGACGTTCCTGGCTGTAGCCCCGTCCGAGCAAGACTGGACGTCCCCTTCCCGGCCACAGCGCAGGCAGCTCGAGCAAGCAGCCCGAGCAGATCGCGAGCCCTCTACAAGTTAACTTTCAGGAGCATGTTTTAGGGCTGGACGCCTTGCACTCTTCATTCCAAATGAAGCTGACAAGTTTTTTGTGCGTTTCCTCCTCTGTGGCTGCTTGTGTCGATGCCTGCTTGCCCCGACCTCGCTCGTCCGGAGACATCGGGGGAGTGGTGAGGTGCAGTGAGCTCGTTTGGAGAGCATCTGTCCGTACGAAGCGATGGTGCGCTATGAAACGCGGAAAGCTGCCAAACCATCGCCTTGATTTGTTGAGAGGAGAGCGGGGTGAGAGTTGAGCAGGTCTCTCTCTGGTGGGAACCTGCGAAGCAGCTGCTGAATCAACCCTATAGCTGCAGGTCGAGCTCACATGGGTTGCTGCCCCTCCAGACTTCATGGATTTCGAGCCTGTGTAGGCAAAGGGCAGGGACAGCAGCTTTGAGGTCCTTCTTGGCGCATGGCACTCATGCTTGGGTACCACCGCATCTCCAGCACCAGCTGTTGATGAGTAACGGGGCGAAAAATTGGCACCAAGGAATGCCATAGAGGTGGGTTTTGTGCTGGTCCTGGAGAGCTGGTGTGGAGAGGAGGGTGCGGAGCCAGCTGGGACGATCCATAGGATGGCAGGGGCTGGAAGGGACCTCTGGGGATCACCCAGCCCAACCCCCTGCCCAAGCAGGGTCACCCA